GCATGGCGGGGCCGCGGTGCCCACAGGGCTGTCCCCATCTCGCACCGTGTGCCAGCGGCACGGCGGCACCGCAGTGCGTGGCTCAGCGCCGCGCATGACTCAGCTCCGCTCCCCCCGCTCCAACAGCTCCGGGCCGGGGGAACCCAGAGGGTTGGCTGCACCCCGGGTGATGGGGAGGAGACGGCTCTGCTCCCCCCCGCTCCCCCCCTCCCCACCACCACCACCCTCCTCTCCAGAGCGTGGCTCGCAGCTGGCTCCTAAGCCGTGATCTCTGATATGCGCCGCAGAGTGAAAGCGGATTAATGCCTATGGATGGGGGCTTGCGGGCTGCGGGGGGGGGAGAAGGGGAAGGGACCCCCGCGACACCCCCAGTGCAGTAGGGTTGCTTCCCAATGCCTTTGGCCACAGCCGGCGGGATGATCGTTGTGTGCCCAATCCCCAGCATGGGGTGTGGGGTGAGAGTGCAGCACCGATGCCATTCCCCCTCCCCAAGTGCTTTGCCCTGGGGCTGGGGGCTGCGCCCTGCCCCACATCCCCTCGCCATCTGGGCACGGGATCTCTTGGCAGATGTTGCCCCTGTAAGCCCTGCTCCAGTGTACCCCGGGCAGATTAGGATGCAATCGAGGGCTGGGCCGGGCCAGGGGGGCTGTAAGCTGCTTATTGGGTTGACGGCACACCCACAGCCCCCCAGCACCATGTCTGTGTTGGGGCATCGTGATGGTGCCTGGCTGCATAATGCATCTTCTGCCCTACAGCTGTGCCCCATGGGTGGGACATCCCAATGGGGAGGGTGGCATCCTGCTTCCCCTCCCCCACAGCCGTGCCCCCAGAGAGGGATCCCAGTGGCACTGGGCTGCATCCTGCCCCACAACCATGGCCTCCAGAGGGGAGGGTCTCAATGGCACTGGGCTGCATCCTGCTGCACAGCTGTGCCCCCAGAAGACAGAGATCCCAATGGCACCAGCTCAGTACTCAGCAGGGAGGGTAACGTCCTGCCCCAGAGAGAGAGGGATCTCCACGGGAATGACCGCATCCCGCCCCACAGTTGTGCCCCACAAAAGGGGGTTCCTGATGGGAAAGTCTGCTTCCTGCCCCACAGCCGTGCCCTACAGAAGGCTGAGGGGATCCCACATGACACCCCATCTCTCTGCAGCTGGGGCATGGCCGTCAATGTGTACTCCACCTCGGTGACCAGCGAGAACCTGAGCCGCCATGACATGCTGGCCTGGGTCAACGACTCCCTGCAGCTCAACTACACCAAGATCGAACAGCTCTGCTCAGGTGAGGATGTGCCACCACCCCGTGGTGTCCCCCTGGAGGTGTCACAGCCACCTGACACGTTTCTATCCTGCCCCCCCCCCCCCCAGGGGCTGCCTACTGCCAGTTCATGGACATGCTGTTCCCCGGCTGCGTGCACCTGCGGAAGGTGAAGTTCCAGGCCAAGCTGGAGCACGAGTACATCCACAACTTCAAGGTGTTGCAGGCCGCCTTCAAGAAGATGGGAGTGGATAAGGTAGGTCCTGGGGTGGGGTGGGGGGCACACCGGGGGTTCCTGGGTGGGGAGGGCGGCCCCCAGCCCGTATGTCCCCACAGATCATCGCAGTGGAGAGGCTGGTGAAGGGAAAGTTCCAGGACAACTTTGAGTTCATCCAATGGTTCAAGAAGTTCTTCGATGCCAACTACGACGGGAAGGAATACAACCCGCTGCTGGCGCGGCAGGGCCAGGATGCGGCGCCCGCCCCTAACCCAGGTGATCACAGCTTCAACAAACCCAAGAAACTCATTGGCACTGCAGGTAATGCCCTGGACCCCCGCCTCCTGCGCCCCACATCGCTCTCACTGCGCTCAGTGTGCACCCCCAGTGTGCCCCCACCCTGCCCTGCCTGCGCTCTGCTGCCTGCAGCCATCGGGGACAGGCAGGGGACACCGCGATGGCACGGGGACAGTGCCACAACCCAGGGCTGTGCTGTAACCCAGGGGCGGTGCCACAACATAGGGACAGTGCCACGACCCGGGAACGGTGCCTTGACCCGTGGATGAGTGCCTGCCGGCTGCCTGCATGGCAAAGCCCCCCCTCGGTCACAAGCACCACCTGCATAGGGGCTGCGAGGGGCGCGGGGAGGGCTCTGCCTGGGGAAACTGAGGCACGGGGGCGGCTCAGCCCCTCAGCCTGCTGTCACCGGGTGGGGGTTGCCCGGTATTAACGCTGCTCTCCGGCCCCCCCAAGTCCCACAGAGGACCTCCCCCACGGGCCCTAAGAACACGCAGCACCCGGCACGCCTGGGCAACGTCCCCACTGGCATCCTGCGGAAAAACTCACCTGCCACCCGCAACGGGGGCCCCGAGGCTGACGCACAGATCTTGGAGCTCAACCAGCAGGTACACTGGGGGCACGGGGAGCACGGAACGAGGGGAACCCCTCCAGTGCTAACGTCCCCATCCGCCTGCAGCTGATGGACCTGAAGCTGACGGTGGACGGCTTGGAGAAGGAGCGGGATTTCTACTTCAGCAAACTGCGGGACATCGAACTCATCTGCCAGGAGCACGAGAACGAGAACAGCCCCATCATCAGCGGCATCGTCAGCGTGCTCTACGCCACCGAGGTGCGTGCCCTGCACCGCAGCCCCGGGGCCGGGCTCTCCATTCATTGAGTCCCGGTGCTGACGGTGCCGTGTCCCCACGCAGGAGGGCTTTGCCCCGCCGGAGGACGACGAGCTGGAGGAGCAGCAAACGGAGGAGCAGGACGAGTACTGACCCGCCGCGCCCCACCCCACGTCCGACCCCTCCATAGACATTGAGGCCCGAGTCCCCGCACCCCACCGCCATCGCAGCTCCGTGGGACAGCGCCGATGTCCACAATAAACCAAACACCACACAGCGGAGCGGGGCCGTGCGTCTGCCGGGGGGGACGCGCCCCAGCCCCCACCCTCGCCCCTTTCACCCCATATTTATTTCAGTTCCTCTCCGCCCCCACTGTGCCATGGCTTTGGGACGGGGTGGGGGGCAGCCCCGGTGCCTCCACCCTGAGCCGGGGGATCCGCGCGGGGCCCGCAGCCCTGAAAGAAGAAGGAGGAGGAGGAGGAGGAGAAGGAGGAAGAGGAAGGCCCGGCCCGGTGGGGGCAGCGCGGGTCCGGGCGCAGGGGGGGTGGGGGGGGTACCGAGAGCGGCCCGGCCCGGCCTTCCCCCTCGCTGCATCGCTTTCAGCGCCGTCACCGCGGTTGCACAGCGCGCATCTGTGTTCGGTTTTATTTAAAATAAACTTCGCGTGGTACAACGCTCCGCGCCCGCGTATCGCTACGGGGCCACGCCGCGCCGCCAGCGTCCCGCAGCACCGCCTACTGCGGGAGACGGGGCGGAAGTGGGGCAGGGCGGAAGTAGCCGAAGCGGAAGTGGGGCGGGGCTATGCAGAGTGGAGACGGTGCGCGGAAAATGGCCGTTGGCGGGTGGGGATATGCAAATCAGTCCGCGCGAAGCATGCCGGGACGACATTATGCCAGAAACGGAACGCGC